TGGAGAATTTCTATATTTAGCTTGTATATTTTATTTATGAAATTTGAAAAGAGCGATAAACAGTACAGTTTTGGAAAGAAATTCTAACGAAATAAGGAAAATTTGATAACATATTACGATAGAATTTAATGATACATTTTTTACGACGGTCGCATGACAAATACAAATAATGTGTTAGCCTATTTCTATGGGAAATCCGCAATCGAATTCAAGCAAATAACTTTTCAGGTATTTTATATGGGTGCTCATGGATGTGGTCCCTGAGCACAGGCTGCCAGGCTAAATCCACGACGAATATGGAAGAAGGCCTTCCTAGTGTGTACAGAGCGAAAAGCGTTTTTAAAAAATTCAATGTTACTGCAGAAATAGTTCTTATTATGAGTGAAATTTAAATTTAAATATTATTAATCAATTCCGTCGACGGTCCCATGACCGAGCGATTAGGGTTGCAGCCCACTTGCCTACAGTGTCCGAGAAGGAATCCCGATGCGTCAAAAATCCTCAGAAATTTTTCGAGAGGTGATCCGTCTGGATGATATATTAATAATAATTCTTTATTGCATGAACCTTAGTCCGTCACAAAGGGAGTTAATACCATTGTGGGGAGCCGGGGGAAAGCTTGGGTCTTTCCCATTTGACCGGCGACGGTTTGGCGAAAACCGCTAACTGCGTTACTGAGTGGCGTGTTTCTACCTTCCGCGTTTCCCCGCGCGGTCGGAATCGAATTGTCAGGTCGAATGGGAGGATCATCGGTAAAGAATGGCCGATACACGAGTAACAGACACCATTAACAAACAAGAGAAATTAAAAGTTTAATGAATAACTAGAAACTAACAACAGCTACACGAGAGCGGGTACAAAAGCGGGTACCAAGTCACGTATACCGGATAGGGAGGGTATCTTTATTGCTGCGGTAGCTTTGAAATACATATCAATGATAAGACCAAGAAATAGTTCATTTGTGCCCATTCTTTCTAATAAAGACCACAAAACTTTATGATTAACAGTATAAAAGGAAGATCTAAAAGCCACGAAAACAGCATAAAGTTTTCCTTTTTTTTTTTGCGGTTTTGATTGAACCAATGTATTTAGTATAAATATTTGGTCTTGACAAGATCGGCTGGGCTGTAAACCTGCTTGCTCCTGACACAAAATATCATACTTAAGGATCCATTTTTCTAGTCTTTTATTTAATAAAGACGTGAACAGTTTCCTAATTACAGAAATCAAAGAAATAGAACAATAATTTTTGGGATCATACACATCGCTTTTTTTTTTTATGTATTGGAATAATCAAAGATTCAATTTATGTTTCTGGAAAACCAGAATTTCTTTTAATAGAGTAAAAACTTTTACTATTGTAGAAAAGAACTTTTCTAAAAGGCACTTTAAATATAGTACAGCGTCTTTTATCCGAATCAATTGAAAACTGGGGTTGTTCGGATAACTCATTTTTCGGATAACCGATTACATATAAAAATATACAATAGAGCGTCGTTTATCCGAAGTCGGTTATCCGAAACGTCGGTTATCCGAAAGAATTCCAGTCGGCAAATTTAAATTTTCGCTAGTTCTGTGGCGCTGCAATCTTTGGCTATATCCTGGGCTACTCCAAAATTTTTTTCGTTGGTGTGTGTGTTTTAGCTGGCAGCACTGGCACTTTTGTGTGATGTTTTTCTGAGGACTGTGTCTTGCTGAATCGAACGTTGTTGATACTAGATTAACTTCTAAAGTATATTTTTTGGTTTTTATATTTTTCAATATATTTATTTTGTTTGTACAAAATAAAAAAATAATTTTTAACGATACAATAGCCAC